ATGAGCATCTAGCAATTCTTGCATATATTCCATGGATAAGTCTGTAATAATTAGATGGCTCTGATAACTAGGATACAGTTCTATTAGATAGGGAAGACTCACCAGCAGCTCATGGTTTGGTATGTCTGGCAAGTGCCAGACATTCATCAGTTCTCAATAGGTAAGATGAATGTAAGATCACTCTGGTAGGCAAAGTCAGCTATGATACAGCATGCTGAGAACTAGGAATGAACCACTAGTCAGAAGACTGTATAAAGATTCCAGTAGACCTAGGCAGGTAATATATAGTATTCCCAGCAATGAAAATGAAGCACTCACTAAATATAGATGGTTTACCTACCCTCTATAATCAAACATGTTAGATGAATGGGCTAAAGTTAGATGGGCTGAGTGGCTTATCTCCGTGGTAAGGTAAAGCTGCTAGCAAGGAGAAGGGACTAGTCACTAAGAGCCACCACCCCCTTGCTTTGTTCCAGCTATCACTAAGTGATCTAGTTGTGATGATTCTGCGTTGTACATGAGCCAAGTAAGTACCCCCAAACACTAGGGAAGTTGGTTATCACCCTCAGTGTCTCTCCTATGGAATTCTTATAGGATCATCATTAAGACTTAAGAAGTCATCTGTTTGTCTATATAGCATCACTACAAAACAGTACATCTTCTTGGATCTGCAGAGATCTTCTCCAAAGGAGTGTGCTATTACTTAGTGATTGTTATATATGTTTGATAATAACAGGAAAAGCATATTAATAGCAGGAATCTTTCCTAAAATGAACCCCTTAGAGCCTTGCTTGATGAGGACAAACGTGTTGCAGATTATATAATAATCTGAAGCAGGCCATCTCAGGATGACCACCTGCTAATTATTAGCTTGTCCCATTATGGATCCTGACAGTCAGGGATGGCAATTCCTCCAGAAGTTCTTTTGTTCTTGAGAATTGTTTTCGCTATCCTGGATTTTTTGTTATTCCAAATGAATTCGCAAATTGCTCTTTTTAATTGTATGCAGAGTTGATTTGGAATTTTGATGGGGATTGCATTGAATCTGTAGATTGCTTTTGGCAAGATGGCCATTTTTACTATATTAATCTTGCCAATCCATGAGCATGGGAGATGTTTCTGTCTTCTAAGGTCTTCAATTTTTTTTTTCTTCAGGGACTTGAAATTCTTGTCCTACAGATCTTACACTTGCTTGGTTAGAGTCACACCAAGATATTTTATATTATTTATGATCATTGTGAAGGGTGTTGTTTCCCTAATTTCTTTCTCAACCTATTTATTCTTTGAATCAAGGAAGGCTACTGATTTGTTAGAGTTAATTTTTATATCCAGCCACTTTTCTGAAGTTGTTTATCTGTTGTAGTAGTTCTCTGGTAATTTTGGGGGTGATATATATATATATATATATATATATATATATATATATATATATATATATAATC